AGGGCCATATTTTGCGCGGCAGCTATATAAAAGATGACAATAGCATGTTGTGGTAGCCAAAAGATTTTCCTGTTTTCCCTTTGGTGGATATTAACGGTTGAGGTAAGGTTCAAAGTCCCTAGCACAAAGATCTCGAGTGGTATCAGCGAACGCACCCATTACATCAGTAGTCCAAATTTCAAACTGGATTATAGTCGGGAAAGCACCAGCCTTCTTTCACGGATCAGTAAATCTAAAACTAAAAGCTAAAATATCATAAAGACAATGGGTGTTGGATTGTAGCAGATAAAGTCGTCTTAGCTTATTCAGGGAATGAGTAATACAAAGAGTCATTCAGGGACAACTAAAAAGCGATGAGGAGAATAACTAGCACAGTATCATCAATACGAGGAAATGGGCAGGTATCACTCATGTTTAATCCAAGCTATTAAATGCTTCTATCTCTGTATATAATGGGTCAGCATGTAAGAGGTTTTCTCTTCACGCAACGTCTTCTTTACTTACTCTTTACAATACATTTGTTTATATTATGATTGGTATATGATTTGGAAATGTACACTTGCGCTGGAACAGCTAAGATAGTTTGTAGAGAGATATCTTCATTAGTGCGCAGAAGTGAAGTTACATGATAATTGTTATGATACAGATTGGGGGAAGGAGGGCAAGACTGAACACCTGTACGCGGTGTCCTCTACGAACCTGGGAGTGAAATATTCTCCCAGAGCCAAGTTCAGTCAAATTTCGCAATATCAAAGAAGTTGGCCCACGAGGCAAAGATCCAAATTACTCATCCACGTCGTTATTTCGCTCCCAACGAGTTTTACTCCTATCTTCGTCTCATCGAGTCTACAAGTACGACCAAGTACATCCTCATTCCAATGACCACACCACTCTTCGACCTTCTCTGGCCTCAGCTGGTCACCAAATACACGCCCACGCCGATATTTATACCCGACGGAGGAAGCAAAGCGTGGCGCACAAATCTGGGAGACAGTTCTTTGGAATGGACGTGAGAGGGATTAGGACAAGTTGACAAGATGATATGGAGGAAGGATATAACTTCGAAGGGCATGAGATTCCGAATTTTGGCAAGGAGTTTTTCGAATTGGGCTTTGTGCCCGCCAAGACTTCGCTTGCGAGAGTGCAGCTGACACTATAAAAACAAGCAAACGATGGAAGGTGTTGTGGTCCGCCTCCTGGTGGTGTTCTCCGGTATAGTTTGAGTAGCCTGGGCACCTACTCCATTTGGGAAGGAGATATCTCAGACCATATTTCGCGCGGAGAAAAGTTGAAAGATGATGGAGGCATGTCTGGATAACTCAGGGTTTTTGAGAAGTTCCCCTGGGTGGGTATTCACGGATGAGGGTTGACTTGGGGTGAAGAAAAAGCCGCCATAACTTCGCAGTGGTACTTGCAAATGAAATCTGAGGCATGAGTGCTCTACTTTTAAATTGAATCATCTATTCTATACTTTTCTTTGATATTGTGTCATAGCTAGATAGCTGCATACGCAATTCAAATCTGATGCAAAAAAAAAAAAAAATGTCGTTATGTAGAGACTGGATCTCCTTCATGCGCCATAATGCCATGCTGCCATAATAATTACCTATGCACCAGCTACTAGATCTACCATACTACATAGCTTAGCATAACAGTTTACCTAACTCTTCTTCGGGAAGACCATATATCCATTGCCCAGTTCTTCATCAGTAAGACCTACATGTAACATCTACTGCAACTAGTTGCCAATTCATCTTTTCCTAGAGAAGACCTGTCACCACTTTGAACCAATTAATATCTCCGCTTACTACCCAGAACCTTACAAGACTATCCAACGCACCCCGTGGAACACTGTCCAAACCTCATCCCTGAGACCTCCGTATCATACTTAATGAGTGCTAGGTTTGTGCCCGCCACGATTAAATATCTGTCATTTCCGAAAGTATCAAATATAAGTGAATTATTTCTGCTTTAACTCACTCACTTAAGCTAGATAAAACTCCAAGTCGTGAAGTTATCCTAGACAAAGTGCGAACCTGCGGTAAGTCACCAGACAAAATTGAAACCCGTTTAACATGAGGCTATTCGGGGCTGCGTTTTATTGAAGCTCTCCTGTAATCAGAACTAAGATCTCCAAACGAGCCACTTTTCAGAGCCTTCACCCGCTGCAATGCCTCCTTCTGTAGCAGCTTTCTCGTCCAAATCCTCCAGCCCTTTGATGAAACTTCAAATAATTTTGTTAGGTATTATTGATGCAACGCAAAAGGCATAAAAAATTAACAAAAGATTTGGCCTCACACGGGAATCCTTAGGAGTAACTGACGACTAGACCAAGAAAAAGGCGCATATAATTGCGCTATAATTTTATCTTCTTTTTTCGTCATTGAGTTTATTCTGCCTGCCTACCCATGACAATATGAATAATTTATTTCACACGAAAATTTTCTCCCTTCAGTGTGTGTGTTTCTTGTGCTACTTGAGTCAAAGACAATTTAGCACATTGGGCTCCTCTCTGACCCAGGCCACACCTTGTACAGTGCTCCTTGCCTCTCGTGTTACTTGTTAGTTCATTGATACATTGCTCTTGATAAATAGCCATTCAGCTCAGTATTCACCCGTGGAATTCAGCCACCTTTTCCACGGAACCTTCTACCCAAAAAAAAAAAAAAAAAAAAAAAAAAAAAAGGTAGCAATGGAAACCGCGTGCGCGGGAAAAGGTCTCAAAAAACCTGCAGCCCCAGCCAGGCAAGGCCTAGACTCCGAAAACTCATCGGATGGCTTCTCCTCCATGATCAAGGGTGAGTGACGAGTTGGTCCCCAACCCTGCCATCTGATCTAGTCGTGCTTAGCTTCATGACAATGGTGATAGGGGGTTTTAGTAGAGATATGTTGACGATATATACCGCGAAAGCGATTGGAAATTCTCATGGAAGCGTGATCGTTACTACCCAGTCTCGACTCTGCAGAATCTACAATGAGCGCTGGAAGTTGGTAGGGGAGAAAACTTATATATATCGAATTTTCATCCCCAAGCCACTTCGAAAATATACAAACTTGAAAATTTTAGACCTTCCAGTTTACGGCTTGGACCCTGTGTTTGTAAATGTTACGACCAATCGACATGTATATATTTTTTTGCATCAGATTTGAATTGCGTATGCAGCTATCTAGCTATGACATAATATCAAAGAAAAGTACAGAATAGATGATTCAACGTAAAGGAAGAGCACTCATGCCTCAGATTTCATTTGCAAGTATCACTGCGAAGTTATGGTGGCTTTTTCTTCACCCCAAGTCAACCCTCATCCGTGAATACCCACCCAGGGGAACGTCTCAAAATCCCTGAGTGATCCGGACATGCCTCCATCATCCATTTATATGTATATTGTAAACATTATTGGCACAATCTTGTATTACAACTAAATCACTAAGATTCTCTGTCTAGGTTCAGCATAGTTAAAAGTTGTAAAATTGGAATATAAAAAAAAATGTAGCTAGTATCTTATATGTAGATTCTAGGAGTCCTCTATAGTCATTGACTCAGTTAGGACTATAATAAAAAAAATCTAAATCTAAATCTAAAAAATCTGACTAGGTTCAACCAGAAAAACCGCCCTTCTTATGTGTATCCATGCACGGATCACCTTGGATGACTGCATAACTAGAGCTGGCTATACATAAATATGCATCCGCTCACATACAAGATTCATTTTACCTGATTTGGCGCCCTGAGGCCCATGCAGGATTTTATCGGAAGATATGAACTTCAAGTAGGATGACTCAACTTGACATGTAGAACACTCACACTCACATTTTATTTGCAGATATTACTCGAGGTTAACCCTTGTGGCGTATAACCTCTTTCGTGCATACCCACCACAGGGAAAAGCGTGAAAAATCTATGGTTATCCGAATCTGCTTTCATCACCCCACAAGGACAATATCACCGCGAGAGTTAGTGGTGTGTGGATTTTACTGGTTTCGAACTAGCTTTCTCCTGTCTCAAATTGGGTAGGTGTTCAAGCTACCCAGTATCTACTTGGGACAACGGCCCGGATGGTGTACCACTGCACCATCCAAACCCGATTATCCATTTACTGTTCTCCTCGCGAAATGTGATCTAAGATGTCTCCTTCCCAAGTGGAGTAGGTGCTTAGGCCACTCAAACTATGCCGTAGACAATCACCAGGAGGCTAGCCACGGCGCATTCCATCGTTGACCTGTTTTTATAGTATCAGCTGCACTCTCACATTCAAAGTATTGGCGCGCGCAATACTCTTCAGTGTGTATATCTCCTTGCCAAATTCGAAATATAACGCACGTCGGGATTGTATCCTTCTTTTGTACCAACTTGCAGACTTGTACTGATACCTCTTACTTCCATCCCAATGAACTTCGTCCCATACTTGGGCGCTTCGATTTTTATCCTCCTATAGGTAATCGTATTGTAGTAGGCATGTTTATGGAGGTTGTTTCAGACCAGAGAAAGTCGATGACAGGTATGATCATTAGAATGAGAATGTACTATGTCGCACCTATAAACTTAATGATTTTTCAGTGGGGATCGATCTTGTTAGGAGTGAAAGACTCATATTGTCGTACGTAGTTCTAAACTCAAAAAGAACTTATATGGTTTGAATAAAGGATTGACATGATGGAGTATCCTGAATCAATGCCTTGTGGTCCAAATTTTTTGGTTACACGAAATATGATCGAACTTGGCTCTAGGTGATTATTTCACTTGCAAATTCGAAAAAGATCCCGCGGGAAGATATTAAATCTTCGCAGTGGGGCTCGAGGCTTAAATCTAATTTGTCTGCAGTGAAGTGAAGGATCGGGATAAATTTCTTGGCGGAGCAAAATGATTGGCTACCACTGTTTGGAACTGGTATTATTGTATAAGACACGCGAAGCGTGACGAGGCTTTCTAGTGTTTTAGAAGAAATTTATGCATCGCATATGTTTGACCAGATTTGGTCTGAGTTACAGGCTGAGACGTTATGGCTCCGTCACCGGTGTCTAACTATCTTACGCCGTTGGATAAGTTTATAAATGGAGAAGATTCGCCAGTGTAAGTATGATTCTATTTGTGCATGGAATAACCTAACGTCCTGTGTCAGCTCTTGGAGGTCTGTTTTTTTTGCCCTATGCAACAGTTGCGAGAACGAGGAAAACTATGGATCTGTGAGGAGTTTCCTAGAAGATGAGACTGTTCAAGACTTATTATCCAAACCATTTGAAGCATTCCAACCTCCATCTGCGCTATCAAAGGCAGCTTTTGAAACAAAAACATCCGCAGTTAACGTCACACCCTCTAATGATGCTCAATTTGACATTAAGGTCATCAAACAAGACTCTCTGTGGCTCAGTAAAGCAGCCAACATCGACGAAATATCGGCCCTCAGAGTAACATTAGTAGAAAGTCAGAGTCGATGTACAGCACAGTTACTAGGACCTTTTTCAGATGAAGAGGTAGCAAATCTACAAGAAGCTGTCGGGACTAACAATTTCCCAAACTCTACATCCCTTTTACTGCCTACTCAAGGTCAACAGATAGCGCTAATTAACGAAGAATTCGATCGAATAGATAATAGAAAGCTTCGAATTCTGCGAACGTATTTATCCGAAAGATGCTACATGTGGAAATGTGCCGAGCACATAATACATCTTTTCTTTCTAAGTATCGATGTCGAGGAAAGTGATAAAGTGAAATCAAACACAAGAGCGTTATGGCTTGAAAACTATTTCAAGAGTTTGGTTGTTTTCCTCAAGTCTACTAATGTGGATACCATACTTCTCCAGTACATCAGTACTCTTCGAAACAACATGCAAAAGTTCAGCAGCTCTTGTGACCTCGTTTGTGAAGAGGAAGTTCGCGAGACAATAGAAGCGGATTCGGCTCAGATGCAAATTATAGAAGCAATACACGCAATGAAGCTAATGTGGCACTTTCTAGTATATACTGTTGAACTTTCGTCATCTCAAGTTACATTGGAATGGTATCAATTTTTGCAATCTTTAAATTTTTTCGAAAATTTCTGTTCGGTAGGTTTTTTTAGCCTTCATGATTAGATAAATTTAACATGACATAGGGAGATTTACGACTCGGGATTTTAGCGCATTCCTTCCAAACACTTTCGGTCACAATATCAGTGGAATTGCTAGGAAACCTTAGTTTTCTTGACTACAATAACGAATCTTATTCTAGACCCGAAATAGCGTCTGACTCGCCTCCTAGGTATCTTTTAGCATGGAGTCCAAAGAGTATCTCCAGTCTTCATTCCATTATTCTTCAGGCTGCAGATTTAGGCCTCGTAATAGCTGGTCCTGCCATTCTAGCATGGAGTATGCTTCTAAAATCAATAGTAGCTCGTGTTGAAAATGAAAAGACGACAAAGATTACCGAAGATAATTATAACCAAAATTTAGATCATGAGACTATCGCGTACGAAAATCTAGTGGATGAAATCCAGGCAACTGTTGAAGATGACGTTATTGATTATCTCGCACGTCGTGCCGTCAATGTGTGCCACGTTCTGGAGACAGTATCGACGATTTCACTGCGCCTCAGCAATACTCCTGATGCCTTCTTTACAGACTCACTTGGAAATCAGATGCGGAATTCCTTTCTTAATCTCATAAGAAATTGTTTTGGGGTGGGCTACATACCTGAAATAATTGAAGCTATAATATCAATTCTCTCTGGCGGTCGTAGGTATTGGGATCATGTTAGTGTAAAAGCTACTCGTCAGTTAAATGACCCGGTTGTTGGCTTTAATAATGATAATCTATTAATCGAAGCTTTTCTGAAAATATCTCAGTCAAGATACCCTTATGAGTCATTGCCATTCCTCAAAATTGTGCGGGCTCTAGCATCTATTCCACTATGCTATGGCTTAGATGATCCTGATTCAGTGCTAAGATTCCTAGACACGGTTCCGGTATTTACTTACACACTCCCAACAGAATTTACAGACTACGAAACGACACAAGAGGAAGAAAATAATAATAGTATAAAGCTGACGAGAGCGGTCCACCTCTTCGAACCCCGTAACAAGAACCTTAGCAATGTATGGAACTACAATAAAACTATGGCTGTCGCTAGGAATTCAGAAGATTTTATTATTCCTGCCGGTACAATTGGTCGAATAATATCGGAATCAGGACCAAGAGTAGCATGTTGGTTTCATGAGTACTCAGCCCTTAAGTACTTTGGCAAATTACTTGAAACTTTTCTTGCATCTAGCGGTCAAGTTGATGGTACAAATGGTATGCCGGTTGATCGTGAATCAGTAAGCGAGATTGTCGAACTATTTGCCATTTTTACACTCAGCATCACTCAATCAAAAGAGACAAACCCTGACTGGATCGAGAATGCCAATAACATTTTGGCAATTTCTAGTTCAGGCCTAAGTCAAAATCATGATATTGTCACAGTAATTTTCGAAATTTTCGAAGAAGAACTACAGCTTCAGTCAAGCTGCGTTGGCAGTTATTCTTCTCTGAGTATTTTAGTCAGTTGTGTTCACTTTATACATGCAATTCTTCCGCTCTCTTCGAGACGCGTGTGGCCTATGTTAGCAAAAAGTGGACTTCTTGGTGTTAATAGAGATGAAGGAAGGCTTTCAAATATCGTTGAGGGCACCGAAGTCATTTCTGGAAACTTTGAATTCTTAATATCCTGCTCAATGCTTTATGAATCATTGCTAGATGATCTAGCCACTAACGCACTACGAAGAAAAATAAGTAATGACTCATCTGCCAACTTCGTAGGAGTACAGAATATTAGAACGTGTTCACCTGATCAATCTGTCGCTAAAATTTTATATTTCTTCACTAGATATCTGGTTGATGTCATGGAAAATTCAGGAAGTTGGAAGTTTCAGTTAGATGATGATCGGCGGAGTTTGTGTAGAACTATTTTAACGGCTTTTGAAAAAGTTCTCATGCATGTCTATGGTATTGAGGCATCAGCAAGGACTACTGAGAAAAGCAGGGAACTCCAATCAAAATTTAACATCGTGAATCCAAAAGAGAATCTGCCAATGATGGAGGTCTTGACCCTCTCGGCTACCCATCTTGTAGAATGCTTCTTATCAACGTCTTCCGGAAGCTTGAGATTTCAACCGTTATTGCGCTCATATTTCGATGGACTAGAAAGCCCAATTTCCACGCCATTTCCATATCAGTCTCAGCTATGGAAAAGATACGTCATTAGCTCAATATTATTTTCCAAAACTTTACTTCGTGTCAGTACATTTCTAAAAAGGCCTGCATCTCAGCTCGAAAAATTACTTTTCAACTCTTCCTGTCTCATTACCAGACTTTACAGTATAGATGATGAGTACTCAGTGCCTATTGTCAATTTGCTGGAGAGTCTGGTTTTAGCTGCCTCTAGCCACGGACCTGAACCTCCATCTCTCCTTGGTCATCTCGGTCCACATACTGCAAGAAATTTCTTACGGGTTCTTTCGGTCCTTGATAAACCACATTCGAGGAAAAATATCGTGACTAGTATTTGGAGTTTTCTGGGAACGGTCGTCAGTAGCCGGCAACAGTGGTTTTCAAATTACTTGCTGACCGGAAAAACCCCAAGAGATACACTGAAGGGTAAAGTAAAAAAAACAAACATGATAACTTTGGAGAAATCGCTCCTAACCACTGCATTGCAAAGTTTAACGAAAATTACCGAGGTGCCTACATATGAAACCCTAGCTATGCTCGAGTTTGTTGCATTGGCTCAAAACTTTTGGCCTTGGACTGTATGTAACGCAGTAGAGTACGCAGAGTTTATCAAGTCTATAATGGAATTTGTCGGAAACTTCACTCCCCCTCAGTTACGGCAAGGAAATACAAACGACTCTATCAGCGCTTGTCATCAAATTAAAATGGCTGCCTTTATAGCTGAAATTTTAGCTATGCATCTATATCATTCTCGACAGACAGGCGTCTCAGTTCCACTAAAAAACATACTTTCAAATTTAGCGTACTACGAGAAATACGGAACCTCTACACCTCAATACAATGCTTCTCTTCATGGGTTACTGAAACAGAATTTTGAAGCTCGATACTCCGGCGCTTGCGCTGGAGACTTCAAGCGATCTACCCTAGAAAGTCGGCCTTTTGGTATAGATTATTTCTACGATATTAAATTAGCGGATAAAATGTTACGACTTGACCAGGCCTGGACTGGGAGAAATGGTGATGATGGTATTCGTGCTGAGTTCGAGAGAGCGAACGTGAATCTCTCGCTTGTTGATGCTCACATTGTATTTCCACCTCTTCGAACCCACATATTTTTTGCTAACAGAGATCAGGCCCTCTTTCAAAGCTGGAAATTGCTTTCGCTAGAGCTAAGTAGCCGCATTTTAATGGAACCGGAGCTTCAGAGATTATTCCGTAAGGTCATCAGTGATAGTCTTGCAGCCAATTGTAAAGCTCAGCCACCAGAAGAAATATTTTGTAGGCTTTCTCAGACTAGAGCAGACTTTGCTCTTGTTCTAACCCAACGGTTATTATGCGCGGAATTGTCAAGCATTGAATCAAACGGACTTTTAAAAGTCGTCTGGAAGACCATTTGTGAGCTGAGAGGAAATTTTGATCGACCCGTACCCGATAGTGATACCCTTTACTATCGCTCTCTGCTTAAACTTTTATTTCTTACTATTCACGCTCACGTGGAAGCCCGCCCAAGTCAAAGCTATCTCCCAGAGAAGTCAGTAAGCTTCTCACAAATTTCCTCAATCAGTCAAATAGTCATCGAAGTTGTTAGATATGTTGTCTGCTATGGCCTTCGCGAAATAATTACCTCAATCCACGATTCACCGACAGAATCGTCGCCAGAAGATCTTGCCCTCATAACTGGCATACTTCAGTCATGCCTAAGAATACCTGGTATCACGAACTTTCATTCCCAAATTATGTCAATTATGGTAAGTAATGATACACCAAATATTGTCATGCGCCTTTTCTCATGGTCTGATCGACTTGCCATCAATGGAGACCCAATTTATGGAGAGCTTAGTATTCTATTTTTGCTTGAGTTATCAAGTGTACCTATGATAGCCGAACAATTGGCTATAGAAGGACTTCTCACTCAAATTTCGTCTGCCAGTATCATAACTTACTTTCACACTGATGGTGTGGATTCGCTCTCGGTAAACATTGGTTCACAACGATGTTACAATATATGGGCTCGTGGTATCCTACCATTACTGTTGAATCTTCTTGATTCTGTTCAACAATCTATAGCGACAGAAGTAGCACAATTTCTTAATCAATTTCCTAAACTCTTGAAAAAATCCGAGGAATCGCTCGAAGCGCCTCTTATGAATCGTTTACCTGATCAAGATCCTAAACAACGCATTACATTAACAGCCTGCTCAGAAGCTCATTCATTGGCATTGATTATTTTCATACTTAATGGTTTCAGAGATACTCTTGGAGGAATCTTAGATATTCCCATTATTAATTGGGATACCAATGCCGTCTTAGAGAATGTAGAGTTCTGGCTAGGGAGTAAAGCCTTGCTAAGAGAAAGATTATTGCCTATCGGTGAACGCGAGGTGGAAATGCTCGGAAAATTAGAAGAATCTAATGTAGCTGTATGTGAATTGGAAGAAAGGGTTGTTTGTGAGATGAAGGGAATTAGAGATATACTTGGTGCCAGTAACACGTGATGTAGAGTAGAAGCGAAAATTTGGCGTTTCGGTTCGACGAGAGATAACTTTTTTTTATTGAATAAGCTCGAACAGATTCAAAAATATGTAGAAATACAAGAAAATTCCTGGATTGAAATTAATTTCAAGATACGAGCCTAATTAAATTATCGGCGTGCAGAAAGATTAGCTCGTAAACTCCTTGCCAAACTTCGACATCTCATCTCATCCGAGATTGTATCCACCTCTAACATCATCTTGTCTACTTTTCGGAATCTCTGTAACGCCTGTTCCAAAAAATCTGCCTCCCAGGCTTGTGCACCAAAATTCGTATCTTCCGGCCGGTATTTATATTTTTGTGGGCGTATATTATTATTATTATTATCCATTTATGTCCTATTTGAGTTTACAACTATGTAGGACAGGCTATTTAAATACATTTAATCTTTTACTTTCTGATTGGGGGTTTCATTTATTTAATGGTGGGATCCCCATTACTGGGTTTGTGGGTGTGTAAATTGGGCTATTTTGGGCTAAAGACTGACTTGAGAGGTATGGTAATCGAAATGAGGATGTACTTGGTAGTACCTGTAAACTTGATGAGTCATTGGTGGGAATCACACTTGTTAGGAGGGAAAGATTGAATTGATGGAGGGTCTTGAATCATTGCTTCGTGGGCCAAATTCCTCGGTATTTCTAAATTTGACTGAACTTGGCTCTTGGAGAATATTTCACCTCTAGGTTTTATGATTAAACCGCGGGCAGGCGCTCAGTCTTTGTTCTCCAGTTTAAGACCCAAAAACAGACGAGCAATTCTGGGGACAAAACTCAAGACCTGGCAGTTTTCTCCTCTACCAACTTCCAGCGCTAATTGCAGATCCTGCAGAGTCGAGATTGGGTAGTAACGATCACGCTTCCATGAGAGTTTCCAATTGCTTTCGCCATCTATATCGTCTTCATCTCTCATCATAGACACCTAGCACCATTGGAATGAAGATAACCACGAACAGATCAGATGATAGACTCCATGGCCTTCTCATCACCAACCCTTAACCATGGAGTAAAAGCCATCCGATAAGTTTCCACAGCGTACCCAGCACACAATATGGAGTAGGGTTGGATCAAGTTGGCCTTGAATATTACGATGAAGGAAGATATAGATGAATATGCGCTCCTCATGTGGTCCCGAAGTCTATGCCTCGCCTGGCTGGGGCTGCAGTTTTTTTGAGACTGTTTCCCGCGCACGCAGTTTCCATGGCTACCAATTTTTTTTGAGTAGAAGGTTCCGTGGAAAAGGTGGCCGAATTCCACGGGTAAACACTGAGCTGAATGGCTATCCATCACGAGCAATGTATCAATGGTCTTTCAAGTAACATGAGAGGCCAGGAGCACTGTACAAGGTGTGGCCTGGGTCAGAGAGGAGCCCAATGTGCCAAATAGTCTATGACTCAAGTAGTACAATAAACACACACACTCGACTCAAGGGTGTCCGTGTGCGTAGAGGTAACGATTTCAGATAGTGCAATCGACACTCTAAAAACTGGCAACAATAGAAGGTGTTTTGGTCCGCCTCCTAGTCGTCATCTCCCCGAATTAAAGTATGGGTAGCCCCGACACCTAATTCACTCGAGAAATGGAGGACTGTTGGGCCGTATCTTGCGCGGCAGATATACACAAGATGAAAATGGCATGTTCTGGTAACCAAAGTTTTTCCTATTTTCCCTTTGGTGGATATTAACGGTTGAGGGAAAGGTGAAAGTCCCTGGCACAAATGTCTCTAGTGGTATCAGCGAACGCACCCGCTACATGAGTAGTCCAAACGTCAAACTGAGTTATTGTCGTATACAGTCGTCGAAGAAGCTAGTCTTCTCCGTGTCATGCTCTTTGAGTGCAGGGTTGGTGCCTGTCACGAATAGATTCTCACTCTTATTTACGCGCACCGCCAATTCTAAACGCCCCTCGCCTACGCACGTGACTTTCGGAGATTCCAAATCAGGTGATGTTTGGTGGCGTATATTGCACCTAGGCCTGGGCTGAGGCTGGCACAATCATAACAAAAGGCGCAACTTCTGCCCTTTCAGGAATCATTTGCTTGATGGTAACTGGTGAGGGTCAATACCAGTCATTTTTTGTACCAAGCATGAAAATAAACGTTTACCAATCTATTGACTTGGTTTTATTGCAGGCTTTTTCTGTGCTACAGCTCTTCTTAAGGGTGTTGAGGTTTCTTGTATCTCCTTGAGGTATGTAATAAACGGGAGAGAATTGATTACGAATATCTGATGACACAATCGTTACGCGGTGTCTAATGGCTCCTGTTCACAACTTATATGTAGTAGAGCTTGAGACTAAAAATGCGTGTCAATCATTAGATAGATCACTTTCAGTCTAAGCACACTTCTAATCAGCTCGCCATCTTGTAAACATCGTGCGCCATCCCTGAATACTATATGCCTCTTTCCTTCGTATTGAAAGTTATTTTTTTGCATTAGGTTTTAATTGCGTATGCAGCTATCTAGCTATAACACAGTATCAAAGAAAAGTACAGAATAGATGATTCAACGTAAAGAAAGAGCACTTATGCCTCAGATTTCATCTGCAAGTACCACTGCGAAGTTATGGTGGCTTTTTCTTCACCCCAAGTCAACCCTCATCCGTGAATACCCACCCAGGGGAACGTCTCAAAAACCCTGAGTTATCCAGACATGCCTCCATCATCTTTCAACTTTTCTCCGCGCGAAATATGATCTGAGATGTCTCCTTCCCATGTGGAGTAGGTGCCCAGGCTACTCAAACTTTACCGGAGAACACCGCAATGAGAGTTTCAATAACAGTGCGGGCGACACTATTTGTTTTTATTTTTTTTGTTTTGTGGGCGACCCTATAAAAACCGCTATGGTTGGATGGTGCGGCGGTACATCGTCTTGGTCGGTCTTCCCAGTAGAGTCTGGATAGCTAAAACACACATCCCTCGAGACAAGAGATGGCTGTCCGGACTCGTGCCGCCGTGTGTCCAAACGTTGGAACACGGAAGTACAAGAAGTCTGCTCGGGTACCCAAGAATCCGGGGATCCAGATGTCACGAGTACAGCGGGCCTACCGTCAACTCCCGGACGCGGAAGACGCCGAGCCTCTGCCGCCGCCATGCTATTTTTCGAGCTCTGGCCCAAGGAAAGAGGAGGAGGAAAAGGCTACTCGGTTCCTTGGAGATGTACTAGCATCGGATATCTGTGCTTACCCGGATGGATCGTCGGAGGGACATGGTCGCTCAGCATGGGGGTTCGTCTTGAAGAGAGATGGAAAGACTTTGTTGAAGGGATGCGGCATCAAGCATGGTGGTGAAGTGCTTGATGCGGAAATGGTAGGGGCGAGAAAGGCCCTGGAAGCCGCGCTGGGATTGTTGGAGAGGGAGAACAGTGGAATTGACAGCAGGCGGTGGATCAACGTGTTGACGGATAGTCAGTCTGCAGTGAAGGTACTGCTGACGGGAACCGCCACAACAAGTGTCGACGATGTACGCCAATGTAGGGCGCTATAAGAAAAGGCTCGAGTCTCGGTCCAGTGGATACCAGCCCACTCCGGGATACAGGGAAACGAAGAGGCCGATAGAGCTGCACGTTCCGGCCTCCGACAACTGTCAAGTAAAGAGAGCCAGCCTGGCTCCGTCACGTTGGCGTACGTTCGTCGGCTCATGAACCGGAAACGTCAAGCGCTTCTCGACGACTGGTGGGAAGAAGTATGTCCACCTAAGTATCAAAATCTGGGTCTTCCCATGCGACGACGCAAGCCACGCGAGCTGGCACTTTCCCGGCGGCTACTTCGTAAACTGATCTCAGCCCGTACGGGACACGGAAACTTCGCTGCATGCCATCGTCGTTTCAACAACTTCGCCGCTTCCATGGAGTGTGCGTGTGGAGAGGAAACAACGCCTCTCCACTTCATTCACTGTCGACTGCACGCACGCCAGACGCGTCGACTACGAGGTACAATGTCACATCACGACTTTGTCCACAAGCTTCTCGGGCCTAAGTGTCTCGAAAACTTTACAAAATTTGCGCAGGAAACCGGCTGCTTCGGGGGCTCACCTGCGACTCCGTCTCCAGCTCTCAGCGGAGACGGTGGTAATTAGTCATAGCACGATGTATGGCAGGTAGGAAAATGAGACCAGAAGTGTCATTTTCCAACCACAAACAGGAGTATGGGATTTGGAATTTTGGTTATGGGAGTCTGTGTGGGCATTTATTTCCTTTATTATAACTAGCTACTTGTTGTGTAGTGAGTCACGCGGTGAGACCGAGTCGGGTATGTGGGAAGCATGATCTTGGCCGTGTACACCGGTCTTTGACTCCTAGGAGATATACAGTCTCTTACGGGTGACAAAGGTAAAATTGTCAAAATGACTGGGGTTAGATCCCTGTACATTTTGCCTTATTTGGTATGATCTTCATGCAGGCCCATGTCTAGTTATTCGACTAGTTATGCAAGCAAGGGGCACTATCCAATGACAATCCGTGAAAGTCTAAATTATGGGGATGGTTTTGAACTCAATGGGAAAGGTACAATAGTCCTCAGTTGAAATTCAAAATTGAAAAACGTCAGTTGATAGTCTCTAAAAATGCACATCTATTTTAAAAATTATTGCTCTGTATTACAAAAGTCTACATCGAAGCCCTCAGTATGGCTCGCAACTAAAATGAAAGCGTACTACATGTTTTGTGTGTCTTCTCCATCCTAATACTTTGTGTACCCTCCATTTGCCTTTATCACTGCTACACATCTTTCGTGCATGCTGCCAACTAGTGACAATAGCTCCTCTGAAGGTATAGAGTCCCATGCATCCTGAAGCAATGTCTTCAACGTGGCAGAGCGCACAAGCCTGACCCCATTTTTCTCTGGACTATTTACCTGAATGTGGTTTTTCAAGATATTCCACAATGACTCAATCGGGTTCAGGTCCGGAGAGTAAGGTGGCCATCTAATAGGCGTTATTCCAACCTCACGCAGCGCCTCAATTGTTGAGT